TCAACCGTTGTTTGATTCATCTGCAACTTGTTCTTTTTTGTTTTCCATAAGTCTGCGTCTAAAGTACTAGTCAAGATATGATATTTATGTCATATCGTTCTAGACGCTGAGATAACAATAACAAACCAGTGTAATCTCATAAGTAGAGTTTTGGGGAGGGACGGAGGGTAGTGCACGCTACCTTATTCTTATCTTGCAAAGGTAAAAAGACAATTTTCGATAGACTCACGACTCAATCAAAACAATTGTAGACGCTGAGAATGATGTTTTGCACAAAGAATAAAAGGGTTTGATTTTAAATAACGATGTTGAGATTGTCTTAGGCTCTTAGCAGCATAAAATATAGTAGATGAATTGTTATGACTTATGAGTTAGATTGTCTACTTTACTTGTTCGGATATTGCTAATAAGATGTCTTCTATTTTTCATATTGTTTATTGAAACCTTTTAATCAAATCAATTAATGAAGATGGAGAGGTAAATCTCAGCCTAGTATAATAAAATCTAGATTAAATGATGCAAGAGATGAACGAGGTAAATAATGCTTCTTAGTATGTCGGAACCAAATGATTAAGCATAAATGTGATAACTTCAAATGTGGAGAAAATATTGTAATGAATGCGATTAGCCAAGATAAAGGAAGATGTATGGATTTCAGAACTGTAGTAAGCAAAGTTGTATCTTTTTTTGTATTCACTTTTCGATCCCCCTCTACAAAATGTTCTCCCTCTATTTATAAGGGACAATCCCCTTTTAAACCCTAAAAAGGTATAACATAAAGAATATTCGAAAAGCATATTCCTACTGTCTCCTGCTACGCTTACATTGCTGCAGAAACCGTACGCTCGCTAACCACTGTCAGTCATCACCCTTTATAACAACCAAAGGATGCTACATCGTAAGGACCTTGTTCCTTGTCGTACTCAATAGTGGATGTGATCGTCCAAATTTGGACCTATACACATATGCTGTCACCTAAAAAATACATAGACTCTCTTATATAAAACGCTAGTACTATTAATGGAAATACCAGAGTTCAATATCTGGAAATTGAATGTTGTATATAGTCGTGCAGATATTATTTAGTAATAGAGTGTTTTATGCTACAAATCAAATATTATTTTTTTAAGCGCAATTTTATGCTGAGATTATTTTTCTTACACGAGTCAACCAAACGACACTTCAATTACTTCATGGTATGTTGTTGGGGACTGCAAACATGAGTGTTCTAGACGAGGGTAGAAACCGATACCATATTTCACATATGAACAAGAAGTCCCATGGAATAAATAAGAAGGGAATGAATTGAGTTTTGTTTTTAGGTATATTTAGAGACATATTCCGGATTTTAATTTTATGGGTTCTAAATTTCAAAATGATGATTGTAGTGCTAATAACCGGAATATTTAATGAATTTTTAAACACAAATATATTATTTGAACAAAAGCTATTGAGTTACTCGAATATGTACCCGGACTCCTAGCTCCTTTAGAAGGGTGGGAACATATGTTTCACGTGATTCATACGGGTCCTGCAATAATATGTGTGGTGATATAGCATGAGCTTTCTTTTTGATAATGTGAAGAATTAACCCAAATAGCCGTTCACCTAACCGCTTAAATTTAAAATAGTCGATAGAGATATAATATATGCATAATTTATGTATTATATATGTATGATTGTGTATAATTAATGTATAAACTATGTATATGGCTAAAAAAGGTAAACAATGAATATGACTGGTATGGAGCTCGACTAAATTTGAATTCGCGCAGGAAAATCTCACATTGGGGATAAAGCCCCGAGAAGTTTCACATTCTAGTTAGCTCATATGCTCAATAAAAAGAGAATCTTATAGAAATGTCCCAAATAAGTTTCAACTTATCAACCTCTAGCCATTAATCATAAACTTACCAAAACTAGCCAAGCACATATAAAAATTGAAAACCCAAATAAATAAAGTTTTTTCTTCCTAAGAATCACACGCAAAGATCCCCTTCCATATTTTTAATCATGATGGAAGACGGAAAGGAAATTTTAGGATGCGGTAGCAAAAAAGGAGATGAAATACAAAATATCTAAGCAGAAAAGGATTTTTTTTCAATGGGTATGGTTGAAATTCATTGTAGACATACAGATGAGTCAATAAACAAAATTTGAGGAAGATTTGAGGTGATTTGGACTGATTTAGTATCAAAATCTTTAGTTAAAATCGAGTTCAAAAAATTCTTCTGCGACACATGTATCAAACATATATAACGCATGTATCTCGCACGTAGGTATACATGGATATACATGTAATACACGTTTGATACAAATATGATACATATGTGATACACAAATGATACATAGTGTGATACACATATCATTTTTTTTTATGATCATCTTCTGCTTCGAATTTTTAATTCAAACTACCTCGAAACTCCACCGAATCATCCCAAAACTGAGATTCAGGCTCCTTAAGATGTATCCAATCTATTCTAATGACATTCGCTCAAAAAAAAGCAAAAATTTAACCTTTTTTTTTTGCTACAAATAGCTAATGGCTAATATTATTAATATTTGACTAATATTAATAATATTTTATAAATTGACTAATTTATGTAATATGCTACTTATAAATGGACTTAACTGGTAGTTTCCCGAATAAAAATCACCCGCCTAAATGCTTCACTTCTTTACGTAGAGGACTAACTTCACTTCTAGTTGCAGGAATACCAAAAAGTATTCTATTTAGTTGACGAGCTTTTACGAATATAGCACAAGTGACAGACACGTAAATATGAAAACCATGCGGACAATGATGGAATCTCCCAAATTATGAAAGAAGACAAGTACATTTTTACAATTAAACCTTCAATTATGTAACTAACCTGTAACATGGACTGTCTCACTGCCTCCTCGACAAACCTCTCCTACTTAATCTTTAGTGCTTGCAATCTTAACCTCGACAAACCGAAGACATGACAGTAGATAGAAAGTTGTGGAGGTCGAGCATTAAGGTTGTAGGTTAGGAATACGTAATTGTGCATATTTCTACGGCACACCAGAGTGAGGCTAGTATGTTAGGGCTTAGTCTTACACTGTCAATGGCTAATATTGAGCCACAATACTATTTCGTTCCTCTTAGTGTCGGGCTTTATTTATTGGTTATTGTTTTGTTTTTCATTTATTTTCTGGTTCTGGTAATGTTGTTATTTGTTCTATGATTTATATTGATCGTACTGATATATTGCCTCTTTTCGTCTTCTTTCCGGCTTCTTGAGCCAAAGGTCTTTCGGAAACAACCTCTCTACCCACTCGGAATAGGGGTAAGGTCTGCGTACACACTACCCTTCCCAGACCCCACTATTGGAATTTCACCAGGTCATTGTTGTTATTGTTGTTGTTGTTGTTGTTGTTCTTTAATGGCGGTTCGAGTCAATTTGGATGCATAGCTTATTCTACTGCATATCTATTACACCTTACATCACGGCCTAGACAGATGAAAAGAAATTATCTAATTTAATCATTTTCACATGCTTCATTGACAACTAAGAGTATGTAAGTGCAAAAATTAAACACCCAATCTTTTGGGGAAAAAATCGAGTTAATAGTGCAACCAATATTTTGTCCTAAAATGCAAGATTTGTGCAAGAATGAAAAGATTTTGAGGTGCTCCATATTGGTAGATAGTGGTAAGATTTCAATTAGGAAAAGACATTAACATCACATTAATGTCAATTTACTTTCTGATCAGACGAAAATCTAGACAATAAAGAATAGCATTATCAACACAACTTGCTGAAGATTTTGGACTAGGATTGTCAGCTAATATGCAACTGAATAATGTTTAACTTGGACCCCACCAATATTTTGATAACAAAGATCTCAGCCGTAGGTGGGAAATCAACTTGATTTTCCTAACCAAAAGACAAACATATGTGCAGATTTCATGTGCAGATTTTACTATTTGTGTAGTGATTTAGCAATAGCATTAAAAAGACAAGTGTTTGGGCTGTAATGGGTCTCTGTTGTCCATTTCTGGGTAGAGCGTATACACATGGACTATGGTCTCCTGCCAAATAATCTTGGAAGATTTCATATGCACTACTTTTCAAGTCTAATTTTCAGTGATTTATTTTTAGAATAGTCTAACTTCTGTGAACTTAAAACTTTTTATATTATGTTATAATATAATAGTAGCAAAAAAATATTCAAAATAAATAAAGCTATTATAAAAAGGGTAAAGGTAGGCCAAAGAAGTATTGGGAAGAGTTTACTAGGCAGGACTTGGCATTGCTTCAGCTCACTGGGTACATAACACTTGATAGGAAGGTGTAGAGGTCGATGATTAGGGTAGAAGAATAGTAGGTAGTCGAATGTGTGTCTTCCACTTACCGGTAGTAGTAGTAGTTAGTTAGCCTTATTTTTCGGTTATTGACAACCTTGATTACTACATGTTTTCTTATTATATTGTTGTTGATAATGCCTGCTCTCTTATTACCCTGTTATGGTAACTGCTTGTTTCTTATTATTCTGCTGGTGGTCTTATTGTCGTTACTGCTTTCTTTTTCTTTATTTGGATCGAGGGTATATCGGAAACAACCTCTCTATCCTCAAAGGTAGGGATAAGGTTTGCGTACACACTAACTCCTTAGACCCCACTCGTGAGATTATATTGGGTTTGTTGTTGTTGTCGTATAAAGACATTTGACTGTCTAAGACTACTACATATAAATTACTCCAGTGTAAGTAATATACGCTTACAATATATATAACTTTTTATATCATCATGTTAGGTTTAACTTATAACAACAACATGATTTTTTCTTATCAATCTATTATAATAATCTGAAAAATAAAATAATAACGTACTAGAACTAATTAAATTGCATTGATGATATAAATACTTGTTTACTCTATTAGTATATAATATGCATTGAATTCAAATTTATATTATAAACATTGATGGTAATTTTTGACACACAACATAAATGTTTAAGGAAAGCAGTATAAATAGAAAGATTGCAAGGTTTCTCGTGAGAACTCACAAGTCAATAAAGCTGACCGCCATTGCCATTACGCCACCACTCCAACTTGATCACTCGGGAACTTGTGATTCCAAATGCTTCCTCTATTTCTTCAATTCTAGATCTTCTTCAACTTCCATTTGCTAACTTTCTTCTTACTTTTCAAGATTCTTGATTCTACTAGGAATTTTCATTTTCCTTTTGGTGTTTGGTTATTTCTATGATCCGTGCTTCTCTGACACTCTTGTCTTAACCCTTTAATCCTGCAATATAAAAGATCATCAGTGTCCAGGTTCAAAGTCTAGTCTTTTCATTATCTTATTTTATTAAGCTTTTAATGCTATATTATGGAACTTAATGAGTCCTAATGGAGGATAATAAATATTCATATTATTGAAATGTTATTGTAATGCTTTGAAGTACTAGTACTAAGCATATTATAGCTAACTTGGGTTTTGGGTCACTGACCATTTTTTTAATTAGTGATATTTTCTTTATGTATTTTATACTTTTCTTGGTTGCTTAAAAATTAGCTACACTCTCCCACTTTATTGGGATTAGAATAGTTCTACTTGAATTGGATCTCATTGACAATCATATTTTTGGGGGGTTGCTGATTTTCTTGATTGGGTGCAGAAGTGTAATCAACTGATATGGATACTTGCTTTGTGGCTTTGAAATCAACTGCCCATTTGGGGAGAGTGAGCAAAGGTGGCTTTGAAAATGGTGAGAAGGAGTTTTTGGGGGAGCAGATTAGAGGGAGTTTAAACAACAATAATCTCAGGGTTAATAATTTGTCGAAAAGTTTGAAACTTGAGAAGAAGGAAAGCAAGATCAAACCTGGGGTTGCTTTCTCTGTTATCACTACAGAAAATGGCAAAGAAACTCTGGTAAAACTCATTTCTTTTTATTCTTTGGGACATGTCTTGGTTCAACTAATGCCACAGTAGTGTTGTAGATTTGGTGGAAAGAAGTTGATATATATAATATGAACTGTACTCAGCAGAGATGGATCCAAGATTTAAACTTGATCGGTCCAACGTTTAATCACTGAGTTCACTGTACTTTCGAAATAATATTTGTTGAAATTTTAGTAGTTTTTTGCTATATATTTGTGTTTCATGTAGAAACAAGTTGATATGTGTGATATGAAATATACTATGAATGCAGGCGTCCAACATTCAAGATTTTTAGCGTTGAACTCACTGCACTTTTGCAACTATGTGTTGCTAATAATATTTGTTGAAATTTTAGTACTAGTTTTTTACGATATATTTTGGTTCATGTTGAAAATACTGTGTTTGGTTGAACCTACAATATATAGGCTCCATCAGCCTCTGATTGTGAATGTTTGTTGGATCTGTGTAGACTGTAGAGGCACCACGTTTTGACAGACGACGGGCAAATCCAAAGAATGTGGCTTCAGTCATACTAGGAGGAGGTGCAGGGACCAAGTTATTTCCACTTACAAGTAGAGCTGCAACCCCTGCTGTAAGATATCTATCTTTGCAGCTCATCAACTTACTTATATTATAGATGACTTAATGTCCTAGTTAAATCTCTGATATTTCGTCCTAGTTGAATTTATTGTTCTGAAGTTTATTAAGGGGAAATTGGACCATCTGTGTATATTTCATATTTTTACCTTTTTGTTTAGGATGTGCTAGGATTTTTCTTGTTGTATTATTAGTTGATTTATATCTTAAACAGATCGACTAGAAATAGATGGAGAACAGGTGTACAAGATCGCAAGTTGATGTTCTCTATATCGGTCATTTTTTAAAGATTCTGATATTTTGTGCCACATGATATCAGGTACCGGTTGGAGGATGCTACAGGCTAATAGACATCCCAATGAGCAACTGTATCAACAGTGGTATTAACAAGATTTTTGTGCTGACCCAGTACAATTCTGCTCCCTTGAATCGTCACATTGCTCGAACATATTTTGGCAATGGTGTGAGCTTTGGAGATGGATTTGTTGAGGTTAGAGACTGTATTTATGAATTTCCTGAAAGAACCCGTATTAGAGTCCCATGTTTGTTTTGTCGTGTTTGTTAGATATCACGGGTGAGCTAATAAATATGGGACTTTTCTAGTGCTCCAACTGATTTGTTCAAACTAAATTTTCAACAATGCAACAACTTCGGATGATTTGCTCTTTTGTTTTTTCTGTGTTCTTGGTTTGTTTTACTGACTGAAAAGGAATTCCTTCATAAAACAGGTGTTGGCTGCAACTCAGACACCTGGGGAAACTGGGAAAAAATGGTTTCAAGGAACTGCAGATGCTGTTAGACAATTCATATGGGTTTTTGAGGTTAGTCTCTAAGACTTTTGAGGACACTAATCCACCACTTCTCTTCTGTTGACCTGATATAATTTATGGGGAAAATTTCAATTTTCTTTATTGTTTCTTGAATTGGTTATTATGTACTAGTATTTTTGTGATTACAGTTGCAACAATTCTTGCAGGATGCCAAGAACAAAGATGTTGATAATATCCTTATATTATCTGGGGATCATCTTTATCGGATGGATTATATGGACTTGGTGCAGGTATGTCCATTTTCACTATACCTATACCCTCCTCATTCTTGTTTAAGAAAAGTTTCTGACTGTCTCCTTCAAACAGAACCATATCGACCGGAATTCTGATATTACTCTTTCATGTGCACCGGCCTGCGACAGGTTTGTTTAAATTTCTATGATTTGATTTTTCATCATTACTAATAAGCAATTAGCTATGGTTTCTTCACGTTAAGTGAATTGAGTGATCAGAAATAAGAGGGAGAATAATGTTTCTACTTTAATGCTATATTTGGATACAATATGCATTTTTTAAAGTAAAAAACAAGACTTCTCTTTATACCTCATTGTGATTGCATTAGGCTGAGTTTAAGCTTCATCTTTTCAGCCGAGCATCAGATTTCGGGCTGGTCAAGATTGACAGTAGAGGCAGAGTTGTCCAGTTTGCTGAAAAACCAAAAGGTTTTGATCTAAAAGCAATGGTAGGTGTAGTTGAACTCTTTTCTTTTATGATCTGTGCTGATTTCTTTATACATGTCAGTGTTAAATCAACCAGCATAAGTATAACAGGATATGATCATTTGATTAGAACCTAAACCCATCCTTTTATGAGAATGCGAGATTCAGAAAACAAAAGAAAGGCAAATTCAATTTAGTAATTCCAAGTTATCTAATTCAACATTCAGACTGGTTCTCCTACATAATTCAATTCATTATCTGTTGATGAGACTTGACCTGATTACTGTTCTTTTTTCGCGCTGCAGCAAGTAGATACTACTCTTATTGGATTATCTCCACAAGAAGCGAAGAGATCCCCTTATATCGCTTCAATGGGGGTTTATGTATTCAAAACAGATGTATTGTTGAAGCTGCTGAAATGGAGATATCCTACAGCTAATGATTTCGGCTCTGAAATTATACCAGCAGCCATAAATGAGCACAATGTTCAAGTAAAGGATCTTGGATCTTCCTATTGAAATTATATTTGCGTATGAGTTCACTGGTTATGCAACTGAAAAATTAGCTCTAGTTTTACCTAAATTTATGATATTTTTTCAGGCATACATATTCAGAGACTACTGGGAGGACATAGGAACAATAAAATCTTTTTATGATGCTAACTTGGCCCTCACTGCAGAGGCATGTTGCAAATTTCCCTTTATGCTACTCATCATATGCAATGAACTTGTCCTCATCTTTTAGAAATTTATCTTAGGTGATTTCAAATCAGTGCATAATCCAACTGATTGGTTTTCCATTGCAGTCTCCAAAGTTCGAATTTTACGATCCAAAAACACCTTTTTACACATCTCCTAGGTTCCTTCCACCAACCAAGATTGACAACTGCAAGGCAAGTAGATAAATAGAGCAAGTGTTTTGCATTAACAGTTCTTTTCTAGATTCTGATATATTTCTTTTGCTGGTTTTCAGATTAAGGATGCCATAATCTCTCATGGGTGCTTCTTGCGCGAATGTTCAGTGGATCACTCCATAGTGGGTGAAAGATCGCGCTTAGATTGTGGTGTTGAACTGAAGGTTTGCATGTACCTTAACATATGCATTTATTTTCTCTCATTCATGCAAAATGCGCTTTTGTTTCTAGTGCATTTTCTTGTACACTATGGACCTCAAACACCGGTTTTACTCCCATTTCAGGATACTCTGATGATGGGAGCAGATTATTACCAAACAGAATCTGAGATTGCATCGCTGCTAGCAGAGGGGAAGGTACCAATTGGAGTTGGAGAAAACACAAAAATAAGGTAAATGGACATTGAATTTAACAGTGATTATTTCAGGAGACTTATATGACACTAAAAAATTCTTACAATTCGATCATGGTTTTCCTCATACAGGAATTGTATCATTGACAAGAATGCAAAGATAGGAAAGGATGTTGTGATCATGAATAAAGATGTAAGCTTTTTCCCGTCCTCCTTGGACCTTCTTTTATGCTATGTTGCACGGATCCTTCATTTGTCTTCACAATACCCATGTCTAAAGGGCGTGAAAGGGTGTCGATACTTCATGTAGATTCTTTCAAATATACTAAAAATAACGAGTCCGAGCAGCATAGATTTTCTTTGCATCTTAATTTTCAAATTTCAACTAGTAAAGATATTATTGGAGTTATAGAGTGGAACAAATAGAGGGCTTATATTCCTGAGGCCAACTAGTTTGTTTATTAAGGCATAATTGATTGATTGAGCGATATTTTTAGAGTTACACTCTCACTGCTGTTCATTTCATTGAAACTCAGGGTGTTCAAGAAGCAGATAGACCGGAGGAAGGATTCTACATAAGGGCAGGATTAACCATTGTAGCAGAGAAAGCTACAATTAAAGATGGAACTGTCATATAAATATGAGAAGCATCTCTTGTTGGTCTACTAGAGATTCATTGGAAATTAAAATCTGGACTTGAAGAAGAACAAGGGTGACCTATTTCCCAACACAACCAAGCAAATTCAGCAGCTGACACACTGAAGGAAGCTTTCTGTGCTCATGCAAAAAGAGGAAGTATAGTCGAGGCACTCGTCTAAAATAAAAGTGAAGCTGCACCTCTAGATACCTAGTTCATGTTGTAAGAGTCAAATATACGTAAAATCACTGTTATAGGTGTAGTATTCTGAAGAATAATGGTTATTACTCAACCTAGACTTCTACTACTGTAAAAAAGAAAACTCTACGTTAAAAGAATATCTTACGATGTATCTCTTATCATGAGCACGTGCTTTTTGCCCTATATGAATTACCTCCATAATTTCAAAACAAAATAATTTCTTTTCAGTATTTGCACTTTTGTGGATTTTGTGGCATTTTCTGATAATTGTTTGCATTTGTCTATGCATTTTTATTTAATTAATGAAAAAATACAAAAATATATTGCATTTGCACGAAGGATTTAATTTTACATTAGGTGGTAAATTAGTTATTTTATAAAAATGAAGAAAAAAAAAATCAATCACAAAAATAGTTTATTTTGTACATTTTTAACTTTAGCTTTTGATTTTGGTATTTTTCCTTTAAGTTTAGTTTTTAATTAATTGTGATAATTATTATCTAGGTTTAATTAGTGTTTTGATAGGTTAATTTGGTTTTAGGATTTAACTTTGATTTTTAATTTAATTTCGAAAAAAAAAGAGAAAAGGAATTAAAAAAGAACTAAGAATGGAAAAGAAAGAATTCAGTTCTGGGCCAAGCATTATAAGTTTCCCCAAGCCCAAGAGATTTCCCACCAGAACCCGTGTGAACCCAGCCCAAACACAATTCTTACCCGGTCCAGCCCCATCCCAACCCAAATGACCCCGTTTAGGTTAGTTTTGATCTCAACCGTCGAGGTTGTGAGATCAAACAATTGAGAAGTGGGGATTCGTAGGTATATTATTGTCCAAACGCCTCCCCCCTTTTCATCTCATCTTTCTCGCCCTATCTTCAGAGAGTCGAACTCAAACCCTAGAGCCGCCCCTTTTTCCACCGCGTCTGCCTGGCGGTGCCACTCCGAACCGCCCCCAAACTAACACCCTGAAACCCCCATGACCCCCTCTTTCCAAATCCCTAACCCATATCCCTCGAATCCTTCCCAAATCCGTCGAATCCTGAATCTAAGGATAGAGCTCGAAGCCCCAAGAAGTCAAAATGGTTCAATCTTTGATTTCGTGGCTTGCATGGCTACTTGCCCTTGTTTTTCTGAAGGTTGAAGGGTGATTAAACACGAAAGTGATGTTGTTCACTTGTTTTTTACGAAGAATAACTGGGTAACATCACTTTTCGTTTAAATCAGTATCAATTAGGTTTCGAGCTTTGATTCGGTAAGTGCCTCCTCGTAATGTATTTTATCTTCTTTCACTGTTTCATCTTCCTCCCCATCCCTTCTCTTTTGGTTTGGTCGAAGTTTGTTTGAGGGTTTTTCCGAGTTCAAATTGGTTCCATTTCTTGTTCTATTTTCCTCGTTGTCGTTGTGGAGCTTGATTATCTTATTTCTTTAGTCCGCCCTGTCTTGTTTGTCTAAGTCTTTGTAATAATAGCACAATTATGGTTTCATCATCAGTTTAATCACTTAGTGAATGAAATTAGGCCCATGATTTAATTAATTTGTTGTTATGAAATTGTACTGGTTAGTTCATTCAGTTTGCTTCTGGTTTCGGCTGTTTTTAAAACAAATGGTTCCAGACTTCTTTGTTTAGGGAAAGTTTGGGTCAGTTTCTCAAAATTGGAGTCATCGTTTGATTTTAATTGGACTCTGAGGAATCAGAAGCCCAAGAAGGAACTGAACCTGGATTATTAACCCGTATCAACTCAGGTCTTTGGGTCAGCTTGACCTATGAGTTGTTGAGTGTAAATAACAGGGGTATGGGGGTAGTTTTGGGTATTTGCTTAGGGGAATCTTTGTATAACAGATTAGGAAGCTTCTTAGAAGCTGACTTGGGGATTATTTTGAAACTTTGAAAACTAAATAGAGATATCTCGGCAAAAAATGAAAACATGAAAAGGGTCTAATTGCAAATCTGATTTTGTTTAAGCTGCCCTACTTCCTTGCCTATAAAGGCATGGTTTTCTTGCCTTTCAAGGCAAGGATTGAAGAGAAAAAAATCAGGAAAAAAATGGAAAACGGCTGGAAATACTAAATATCATTGTTTCATTGATTCTCTTCTTCATTTATTGGTTACAATTTAGTCTCTGAAGTAATTCATGAATCATTTGGGGGTTAAAATGGATTCAACTTGGGTTTGTGGAAGTTTGATTTGAAGTTGTTGAGGTCACTGTTCAATTGAAATTGTTTTCTGGACTGTTGCACCTCACTCTTGGGTTCGAGTTTGGTTTTATTGGTTATTCCTAGTTGTTGGGTTCTGCTACTTTGCTGCTTGGCTACTGACCTCCTCTTGCTTTCTTTCATTTCATATTCAGGTACATGTTTCTAGACTCACCTCGCATGAGGCTTGATATTGAAGTGAAATAAAATCTGGAGTTCTAAATATGGCTTCTACATATTCAGATCCTTTAGTTCAGTTTCAGTCTTTTTGGAGTTAATTGATGCATTGTATGTTCAACATGAGAACTCTTAGTCAGCTTGCATCTGTTTGGAGTTAGTAGAGCCCTTGTAGTTAAATGTTGCTTGCTTTTGAATCTCTTACTATTATAGCTGGTCTTGGACTGTTGAGAAATGGAACTTGATAAAAATATTGATCATTAGCTAAATTTTGTTATTAAGCAGTGTTAGCTAAGCGTATGGTGTCAAATCCCTTATGCCTTTGCAGCTCATTTGAATATTGAGGCCTAATGATATGTCCAGGATTTCATGTTACTGTTTGATAGATTAAGCTGTATGATATGAGTATTAGTTGAATGTTTTATTTTGAAAATCAACTGTTGGTTTGAAGTTGTTTGAGAATGATGATTTAAGGCAAGGAAAATGAGATAAAGTGAAATATATGTTAGTATACGTGTGCTGGGTTTGGGGAATCATGTTAGTGTAGATTCGAATAATCTGCTTAGGAATTGCAATAACAGCTTGACAGATTCAATTGATAAGGGCCTGAACTTTATATATTTGGCTATTTCGAGAATGTTAATGGTTTGTTTGTTCACGATGTTGACTCAGTAGATTCGTTCTTCGTGATTCTGTAACGGTCATTTGGAGTCCAATTTCCTTACTCGAATTTGGTTGATGAGGCTCCATCTAGACTCGATGCCGAGTCAGTTCGTGAGAAAACTTGGGCTCTCCCCAGGCCCAAGTCTAAGGTCCTTTCACGAGCAGGGCCTTGTATATGCTAATGTTTATGTTCTTTTTATTCGAACCAGCTCTTAATTAATAGTTGCATTGGACCAAACCATTTCATGTAATTAAAATACCTGCTGATCTCACTTGGGTTTATGACCATTAAAAGCAATTTGAGTCTTAATCTAGAATAGGCTCAAACATCTTAGGCCCGTTTAATTAAGTATTGTTTTTATAATAAATCGAGGCGCGCCGTGCCGAACAAAAATGACAACTGCATGGCCCTCGTTTAATTAATTTTGTTTATCCTTAGAAATCGAGGCGTGCCATTTAGCGAATTTTCATGGCCCTCGCAAAGTTGCAAATTCGTAATTGCTTTAGGCGCGTTAGTTTAATAATATTACTTTCCTAAATTCGGGTGCGCATTTATGTGACCCAAATCCAAATCACAACAATGTTAAAATATGTCAAAGATCATGGGTGCATTTATGTGACGTGGTTTGAGACGTGTTTTAATGACGTTGCAATTTTCTCTAAAAAATTAATAAAAGCGGATAAAAAGTTAAAATTTGTGTAGGTTCATAATTGTTTAAAATCAGATAATTAAGCCGAATATAACAGTTGAGCGACCGTGCTAGAACCACGGAACTCGGGAATGCCTAACACCTTCTCCCGGGTTAACAGAATTCCTTACCCGGATTTCTGGTTCGCGGACTATAATACAGAGTCAACATTTTCCTCGACTCGGGATTTGAACCGGTAACTTGGGACACCATAAATTATCCCAAGTGGCGACTCTGAATCTTTTAATAAAATAAATCTCGTTTCGATTGTCAATTTAATTGGAAAAAACTCTCGTATACCCCTTCTGGAGGGGTGTAGTAAAAAAGGAGGTGTGACAGCACTGGCGACTCTGCTGGGGATCGAACCCAGAATCTCTGGTTCAGGGTTGAGAATTTGAGCTTAGATGAATTGTTGTATTTGGTTTTATCTATTATCTTATTTTATTACATGTTTGGGCCTAATGTGCTAAATGTTGCTTTTACAGCTTTGATATTATCTGAACTGTATATAAACTACTACGAAACCCTTCTCTTCTCATCTTCGGGGATGTGCTCGCTGGTCGAGACTCCCTATTCTGTTAGTGTCATACTTTGAAATAAGAAAGAGGCTCAGACAAGTTACTAAGCCGGATGGCCTTTTGGTTCCCGGTACGTAGCCCCCTCCTCGGCTCGAGTTGTCCGCTCGGGTACACAGTCTAGAACACATACCCAGGTTTTTGAACCTAGAATAACGTAGCTTCATACCGGATCCCTAGTAGGAACGTTTGTTTGCATCATGTGCATTTGACTTTGGAGACTCAACACAGGGGTTGGGTCTGTCTAGGATAGGTGTACCCGAAATGTAAAGACCATTATGATGCATCTTACTTGCTACTTGTGCATTCATTTGCTTCGGATTTGCATGTTGACCGGCTTATAAGGAAAATTTAGAAAGGTTAATGAGATGGTTGAGAGGGATAAGTGCCTATTAAACCAATGTCCCAAAACATACCGAAACTCTGCCGAAATTTTGAAAAAAAGAGAGGGAATTTTGTTGTTTTCAAAGAAGAAAAAAAGGGAAAATATTTGTGTTTTAGAAAGGAAAAATAGTTGGTTTTATTTTGTCAAAATTGCCCGAACTACGCCAATTTGATTCTCACAAGGTGTGGGATACGTAGGCAACCCCCATTGGGTCCAACTTTCCTTTTGCAAAAATAGCCAAAAAGAACAAAAAATTTATTATAAATAGGTAAGGTGATGCCATTTTTGTCAAAAATAGCCGAATGTCCCCAAAAGAATGCTGGAAGGCTGTTTTTTGCAAGAACGGCCACCTTGTGTCTTTTTTCCAATTTTTGGCTAGCTAGCGGGCACAGCCTTAAAATCTTCCTCCGGAAGTGCTGAAAGACCGTATTTGCACAAGCTGGGTTTTTTTAGTTTTGTTTTGTTTTAGAAGTAAGAATCTGAAA